GCAGAGGGACACAGCCCTTCAGAGATTTAAGAGAACAAAGTCCAACGCTGACTGGTTGAATTATAAATATTTGAGAAACTTTACTTTATCTATGGTTAGGCGAGAAAAGAAGCAGTACTTAAATTCATTGTGCCGAGATAAAAATTCACGAAGGACTTGGGAAGCTTTAAGAAACTTTAATGTAGCTTCTAATAAAAACGTCAATATTCCCAAGAGTTTGTCTGACCCTGATGAAATCAATAATTTTTTTGGTGCTTTTTTGCAGAATGTTTCTGACTGTAGTAACAGGATACGTTTTTATAATGATAATACTTATAATAACAACCTAAGTTTTTCATTTGATTTGGCTGAAATTTCAGATGTTAACAGGGTACTGAATAATATTAAAACAAACGACACGGGAATAGATGAAGTTTCACCCTTAATGTTAAAGTACTGCAGTCCATTTATTGATAAATATGTTACACATATTATTAACTGTTGCATTGAAATGAATTATTTTCCCAATCTATGGAAAGTATCAATAGGAAAACCTCTACCAAAAACTTCTGTTCCTTCTACTCTGGGTGACCTTAGGATTATCAGCATCTTACCTGCAATATCTAAGGTTTACGAAAAAATTTTGTATAATCAAATTTATAAATTTGCTGCTTCAAATAAAATAATTCCGGATACTCAGTGTGGCTTTAGAGCGGACTTTAGTACATCTGTGGCGTTGGTTAACGTGGTTGATGACATCATGCCTGCTTCTGACAAAAAAATGAATAGTGTACTGATTTTATTGGACTTTTCGAAGGCGTTTGATACCATCAACCATGAGCTTTTGGTCTCCAAATTAAAGTTCTATGGTTTCCAACGGGAATATTGTCAGCTGATGACCTCATATCTTGCGGATCGCCATCAGTCAATCTTTTCTGAGAATAGGTACTCTGGTGACCTCAATATAATGTCCGGTGTTCCGCAGGGTTCAGTATTGGGGCCGTTACTTTTTCTTATCTATACGTCTGATATTTTAAGGTCGCTAAATTACTGCAAGGTCCAGGCTTATGCGGATGACACACAGGTCTATTGCTGTTTTGATTTTGAGGGGTATTTAGACTCTGAAACGCTTATTAACCGGGATTTAAAAAACTTTAACTGATGACTCAAATGAACATAACTTATTGTTAAACCCATCCAAATCTTATCTAATGTTGTTTGGTAATAAAAATAAGGTTGATTTCCTAAAAGATAATATTAATATCAAACTAAACGATGTGAGATTACCAGTTGTTAATTTTGCTAGAAATTTGGGGTTGATTTTGGATAGTGAATTACGATTTAAAGAACATTTGAAAAAAATATTTCAAAGGTCATATACAACTTTAAAAATTTTATACAATAACAGACATATATTAAATGTTACACTTAGAAAGTCGCTTTGTGAATCTCTTATACTTTCCAACTTTAATTACTGTGATATGGTATATGGTCCTTGCCTGGATTTTGAGAGTAAATCTCGTGTACAGGGGGTGCAGAACGCCTGTGCGCGTTTCATCTTTGGGCTTAGAAAATTTGATCATATATCTCATACGTTTGCTGAATTAAACTGGCTTCGGATGGATTCTCGTAGGCTTATGCACTTTTGTACATTCATGATAAAGATTTTGAACAATCCTGAAGCACCTTGCTCAATTCGTGAGCGCTTAATCCCTCGTGCAAGTGTGCACTCCATTGACATACGTCATTGTGAGCGATTGACTATGCCGCACCATCAGACTGCCCTGTTTCAGAGGTCATTTACTTATAATGCAGTGAAAATTTTTAATTCCTTACCTTCGGGTTTAACTCATTTAAAGGTCCAGGCATTTAAAGTGAGATATAGAAGGTACCTACTTAATATTTCTAACTAGTTATTTGTTTTATTTTATCATATTACGAAATATAACTTGTGTGGGTATAATGTAGAAAAAAAAAGTGACAGGCTTCTCAACAATAGTTTACAAAAACAAAATTTGTTAGTTACTTTGCATAGAATTATTTATTATAAATTGTACTTCTTGCTTTCGCATGGTTCAGTGGAGTAGCTATAAGCTAGACTGCGCCATTCGTTAGCATGCTTGATTTATCATCTTTCTTAACGTTCTTGTAAAATGTATTTTTCTTTTTTTCGTAATATAAAGGCGATTATTATTATTATTATTATTATTATTATTATTATTTCCGTGGAGGGTGGCATAGAGATTTTAAAGGGATTCCTACAAGAGTCGAGACCCTCACGAGTCGATACGTGTGTCACACATTTGACGACAACTGAGAACTTCTAGTCCCTTATCTACCTTGATTCTAGGCTAGAATCTGCAACTTCCAAGTGCAGTTTCCTTTGTCAAATGATCGAGAATAGATGGCTTACGTGCTCTACCTTATGTTGGAGTGGAGGCTTGCATAAAGTTTCACTGATAACTTTTAATACCTTTTCTTTTATAAAATCAGTTTTATAGTCAATTAACAAAATTAAGATATTTTTTTTTTAATGATTTTCATACACATTTAAAATCCCTTATTCTTGACACCGAGGCGATGGTGGAAAATTAGCTTTCGATTTATCGAATTTATTATGGATTTGTCTTTGCATAACTTTTAATATTGCCTTATATTTTATCATTTTTATCAATAATAATCGATAAGTAATCTGAACAAAATTCAAGGTTGGACAACATGTTCTAAATTTGAAATTGTTGAGTAAGAGCCTACCGTCGAAAATTGATCAATTTTTAACCCAAGGTCCTATAACTTATATATTTGAGAATTTCCCTTATGTCTCCAGACCCACTTAACTGTTATACCGGGTGACAATGAAATTATTACCCACGGCGGCATTTCTTAACGGCTCGAGATAGAAATATTATGCAACTAGGTTTGTTGATAGGGTTGAAAATTGTGAACAATTTTAATATAAAAACAATTGAATGTCTTTTCCGGTTTCACCGGAAATAGCATTGACTGTGTTATTTTAAATATATATATTTTTTTTTGGGCGCTCTGAACAATTCTAAATAACTTTTGTCGAACATACCCTATGTCAAAAATTGATTGTTTTTGAAATAGAGTGGCTCAAAAATATGTCGTAATTCCTATTTGTTTGTATTTTACGTAAAAACTGCCATTTCCGGTAAAACCGGAAAAGACGTTCAATTGTTTTTATATTGAAATTGTTCACAATTTTCAACCCTATCAACAAACCGAGTTGCATATTTCTATCTCGAGCCGTCAAGAAATGCCGCCATGGGTAGTAGTTTCATTGTCGCCCGGTATAACCCAACTTTCGACTTTTTACAGGTACAAATTGATTTTTTTTCAGTTTATTTTTTTGCAGAAGCTGACCATATTTATTAATACAATTTTCAATCATTCAATTTTTCTAATTAGTTTTCCGGAAACCTAAATCTTTTATATTTGCATTTCCTGATAATGATATGGCCAGCGACTGTTTATGAATTTATATGGCAAGTATATTGAGGTGCATTGATATACAACTATTATTTTATTTTTTTGAGCTTGACGAATCTGATTAAAAGTTAACCCCTCTTTTATTTTATTTGATCTAAGGTGTTTCACCATTCAATGCTGGATTTTTGACCGACTGTGAAAATATATACAATTTTAATTTGAAATTTACCTAATTGTTTTATTGGTTTACCTATATGTCAAGATTTGAGTTGTGTGCCTTATTTATTTCCTTTTCAGAATTACCAATTACTGTTTGCTGATTATTTTCTAGGTGTGTTTCTGAATTTTCATCCTTCCATATTTTAAGCAATTTTAGTATTAATTTAAAAAAAAAAATCAGTTGCGCCCTTTCCATTCTGTACTTATTAAACTATCAACCCACCCCTAATAAATATTCTCTGAGCAAACCGAGCATATTATTGGCCTCTTGTTGATTCATTAACAAACAGGGTTGGCATTAGTAATGCCGTTTCGTGAATCTTCTAAGATCTTCTAATTTTCTAATGATTTTGAATTCAATTTCTCGAGGGCGCCTTGCTCAAATTTAAAAAACGAAGCAGCAAACGATGTATCACAACATACCCCTTCCCATTCGGAAAAATAAAGGTAGAAGCCGCCCCCGCTAAGGGGTTGAGGTTACAGGGATGAAATTAATAGTAAAACGTGTCCCCCTGAAAACAAAAGTTTACGGGTCTGAGGGTTTTTTTTAAATTTTCACGTACAAAGCCGTAAACCTTGCTGGACTGTTTTTGATGGGCCACCCTGTATTTTGAGAGGTATTGGTGACATGAAACATCCCTGTTTAAGTCCTCTAGTTGCTGTAAAGATTTTGCTAGCATTTGAAAACTTTCTAGGGATACGCGGTCGATAAATTCATTTATAGTAGGTACATAGTATTTGTATCATAGTGAATGAAAATATTTGTAAGCAAGTTATCAGTATAACGTTGATATGATTGGATGATTTGTCTCACATGACAAAAAGTTACCAAATTTAATTGCCAGTCACAACTTTACTATCAAAGAATTTGAACATGCTGAACATGACGCTGGACCCTAATATGTAACTATTTATGTGTAGTTCACGTAGTAGGTATCTAATGCAAAACATGAACTTCATCTCATTATTTCACGGATAAACAAATTATTTACACATGAACTTATTACATGGCTGTAATAATAACTTCTTGACACCTAGGACTGAATTATTAGGTAGATTATGAGTATATTAAGCACCAAGTTTAGTGAATGAGTGTGGCAAGTTTTGTGTATGAGGGAGCGAAGAGAGCAGTGCTCTAAGGCCTCACGAAATAAGTGAAACCCTTCGCAAGCGCGTTGCTCACACTGTTCTATCGCATTTTGTCTATAAATGGTTGAAAAAATGTTTCTACTTTTGACATGACATATTAATAATTTTTGAAATGACATCACAACCAATTATCAAATATCTATTACTAAATAAATTCCAGTCAAGATGACAAATAATACCTTAAAATTTCACAAATAAATTACCTTTGACGGCAACATAAATTACTTTTCCAAGTCCTGATCCGATTCCATTTGTGGCACGACACAGATAATTTCCTTCGTCTTGGGATGTAACAGCCTCAAACCACAACGAACCGTTTCCAAGTTGAGCTACCCTGTGCACCCCTGAGATGGGTCTGTAATCTGTTGATTTGCCTGGAAAATTGCATGAAATAGAAATTATTGAGCGCGTTAAATTTCCTAGAAGCTTCATAAAAGATAATTTGACGGGAAATGAGATTTTCCTTTAGAGCTAATGAGATGTGCTATGTAATGCATCTATTGACATATAAATGCAGTTATGTTCAAGCTCAAGGATAAGACATAATTTCGTTTGTTTGTAAATGCAGAACTTACTATATCCTTTCAACCAAGATGTAGTTGGCTCGGGGAAACCTTTAGCCAAACACGGGATGAGCACTGCATTTCCCAGTAAAGCTGAAATATCTTGTGGCTCTATAATCCATTGTGGGGTAACTAAAGACAAAAAGAACCTGTTTCAAAACATTGTTCCTGCTTACAATAGGGATAAAATCTATTATTATTTTATAAAGTTTGTGTAACAAAATATGCCCCAAATTAGTATATATAATACAAAGGGAGATCATTATTAAAATAGTAGTTTGCAGTAGAAAGGAAGGTTGTAAATGTATATAGAACATATTTTAAATAATTTATCATGAATATTTTACCTTTAACCATAAGTTGAGCAGTAAAATTCACTCTTGCGGCGGCATTACTAGCTACACAAGTGTAGGCCCCTGTATGTCGTGAATTGACATTTTTGAAAACTAACATACTGTAGAATTCCGCCGCTCTTTCTTCCACCTGAAAAAAAATTTGAACATGCTGTTATACATTGTGTGTGTATATATTTCGCACAAAAAAAAAATATGTTCCAATTATCATGAATCCGGAAACGCTTCGGTTCCATGATATTGAAAATAAATTTTATAGTGAAATTTTTCGTTTTCCTTTTATTTCTCCCTAATTTTCTAAAATACATAGCTCAAATCTCGTACAGATCCTACAATTAACGTTCTCCTTAGAAAATGGTTGAAGTCATTGGATAAACTCAAAGGAGTGGTATTTCTTCCCTTGCGAGTTGCGATTCGTAAGATATTGTAGCATTTTGAAATTATGGCTGTTGATGTTATTTGGTCTTGCTCGCTTTCTCATGCGTCGACTAGCGTCAGATGTCTGTGACATTATATGTTTAATTATGTCATTCTTGTAGTCTAATTTGCTCAAGTAAAAGGAATTTCTTTTTGTGTCAAATAACTTACCAGCTATAGAAAGCAGTCTACATTGCCGCAGGCTTATTTCTATAGCCTGATTATAACTCGATAGTTGACAAAATCTCTAATTAACAAACATCCCTTTATTTGAAACTTGAGTTAATTATTCAAATTATCACTACACTATTTCAACGTTAAACCGGTACCCCTGTTGATGTGGTCATGTCTCGCGGACAGGGGGAACTGGAGTCCTGGCTTAACCGCCCGGACTGAGAGGAGACAACCTCAACAAAAACCTGAATCCTATGGTGGTAGACCAGGCCAAAAGGATGCGTGGCTGGACTGAAGACCAGCAGCTGCTGGCACTCACCTGGGGGCACCGGGCGAAAATCCATTGTAATTAGCCTTCTCCTGGCATGCGGGCCTCTGCCAGGGGTGACCAGCCCTTTCCTAGCTGCTCGTCGGACCAAAAATGGAACTAAAACAAATCAAAAGATCGGGGGCGTACCGTCGCCTACTGCGATGACCAGGAAACACAAAATTGGGTCAATGAACAGGTCCAGCGCATGACGCCATGGGACAAAACTTAGGGTCATATAATGGAACCGGAAAAATAATTCGGGATAATGATGCTCCAAAATCAGGATTCAGGGAGAGAAGTTGGACTTCAAAGAACAACAACTCTTCCTGGCCAAGGCCCGTGTCTCCAGGAAGCGCATTGAAAATACGCAGAGGATACTCTACCTCAACTTCTCCAGCATCACGCTGGTGGAGGGGAGAGTACAGATCCTCCAACCAGGACCGGGGACCAGACATCCTCTACCCAAGTGGATGAAGCGGGGTGCCCATGGAGATAGAGATTACAACCGGCTCCGTAGAGAGACCAGACACCATTCCCTTCTCCGCTTCTCCGAGGTCACGGGGACCTCAAATAAGGAGCTGGAAGGTAGCGGTGAGGAACCGAATATAAAAAATGATCAAAATTAAAGTGCTACAAGCATATTTGCATCACTGTAGAGCAGCCATAGCTGTTCTGCAGAGATGTATAGTAAAGCAAGATGTAGATCTTGCCCTTGTACAAGAACCTTACATATATAAGGGGAGAGTTAGAGGGTTAGAGTGCGTGGGGGCTACGAGTTGATATAACCTGCAAGTGGCCAGCCCCGAGCTTGCATAGTTGCATAGTAGCCAAGAAAATTCTTAGTGTTTCCGCTGTGGTCCCTATGTAAGGGTAAACACGCACTAGCGATCTGTTGTCGGGAGATAATTTTGTCGCAGTCGGGTCGCCCATAAAATAGGCCTGGTTCTATAATTTATCCGCAGCGATTATTTTGTTGCAGAATGCGTGCATGTTCCTTAAAATATTGATGTTCCATTTTAGCGACTAAACCGTCGCGCGACAAAAAATAGCTAGTGCACGCTTGCCCTAAAGAAGACGTTATAATATGAACAGCTTACTTGCCTTTCGATCAATCAGGCCCTACCCCTACTAAGGAGGTGAGAGATCTGGTTGCCCATTGTAAGGATAAACAAGTCTAATTCCGGATGGAATGCGATTCTAACGCCCATCATATTAATTATTCAGAGGTGGCAAATATTGGGAATGCACCGCCTTTACTGACTACAAACTAAAAAGAGTTTTTAGACATCACCATGAGGACGAGAGGATTGTGCGGGTGGATGGACATGTGGCGGATCTCTGAGGAGGCGTCACTCTCTGACTACAAGCACATCATCTACAACCTTGGTAGTGATGAGGGGAAGGAAGAGATTTTATATCGCAACCCAAGAACCTGAGACTGAAACTCCTTTAGAGAGGACCTCAAGCAGGGACTGGGCGAATTCCACTCCGCCCCGAAAAATCTGGCTGAAATAGATTTCATGTCAGAACAACTGACCACAAATCTCATGGAAGCGTACAATAGAGACTGACCTCTTAAAAAGAAGAGTCCCTAGGGACGCTGAATGGTGGACCAAGGACCTCTCGAGGCTCAGGAAAGATGAAAGAGGACTCTTCAACCTGGCCAAGAAGACCAATAGCTGGGAAGTCTATAAGGTTAAAAAGAGAGAATATGGCTATGCCAAAGAAAACTCCTGGAGGAAATTCTGCGAGGACATTGAAAGTTCTCCAGAGTGCTTCAGGTTGAGAAGAACCCTTAAGAGAAACACCCTTGGAGGAATTGGGTCTTGGAAAGACGAACAAGGGGAATTCACAAAGACTGAGGAAGAGACCTTGGAACTACTTCTGAGGGCACACTTCCTAGGATGCGAATTCGTCAATGGCAGGAAGATCATCGCGGGACCAATGTTTCAACTACTCAGGGTCAGTGTGGCGCTGGGTGACATACCAATTAAATATAGGGCAGGAAGGGTAACCTTCATACCCAATTCAGGGAAGGCGACCTATGCCAAAACGAACTCTTTCAAACCCATCAGCTGTAACATGCCGAATATTACTGTTTTTCTTTTTCACATATAAATTTTATAAGCTTAATGATTACCTTCAATGTTGACAGTCTGGTGACTGGCATTAAAAAAAAAATCTGTCGCAATAACAATAGCAAATTATAAAACTATAGGGCACGATCTTCGTTTAAGTTTGAAGTACCAATTCGGTACCAGCTTGTTCAGTTTGTCCGTTAGGTAGTCCCTTTTAAATTTTGCCATTCGAGCTGAAAGGGCGATCCTGGCTGGGGGCAGCCATCTTCCTAAAGTGTGAATACAGTTTTCGTGGAAAAAAGTACCTTATCGGCCATCAGGCATCGTGGTAAGTCCCTTTTTTTAAAAGTAATGGTTGTTCATGGAATGCCTCTATTACTCAAGGTTTTTCCGGGGAGCCGTTTTTTTTTCGAGGACCTGTTTTTCTCAAGAAATCTATTTGCAACAAGCCCTAGAGATTACCGTTTCCGTGCAGCGTGGGCAAAGAGCTCTTGAGTCCCTCACGTGTCGATGCCTGTGCCTCCACCCTCCACATTTGACGAAGAAAACTGAACTTCTAGCCTTGATTCCAGGCTAGAATCTGCAACTTCTCTCGTCCAGTGACCAAAAATGGATGGCTACCGACTACCGTACTCTACTTTTTTGTTGGAATTGAGGCTTGTATAGAGTTGCAATTGCAACTTTTATTACCTTTTTTTTATGAAATCTGTTTTATGATAAATTACCATAATTGATTGAATTTTTACCGACATTACATTTGAATATTTAAAATTTCAATTTCATTCATTATATTCTTGACACCGAGGTGAACTTGAAACAATTATTTCTAATTTTTGATTTATCGAATTTATTATGGGTTTATCTTTGCTTAACTTTCAGTACCGCCATATTTAAATAATGTACTTATATTTTATAAATAATAATCAATTCTGCAGGTAAAGCCACGTGCTCTTGAGCCCACTGTAGAGACCGATACTTGAACTCCCAAGGCATGACGCATATCTCTTTGGAGTGCTGGTATTGCCATGGTCGGGTTTCTTCGGATGGTTAAGTGAATTTAACGGTTCTGTTGTTGATTAGTGACACGTCTTCTACCGCTCCTGGGTCTATCACGAAGAGAATTATTCTGGAGATAGCGATTCCAGGTGCGAGAAACATCATTTTGACAAACACCAACTCTATTAGCCACAAACCACTATTCTTGCACGATCAATCTCACTTATGACTTGTCGAGGCATCTTTGCACGTGAATTCGTAAAATTCAACTGTCTTGACTCTAGAACTAGTCGCACCAAAAATGTGAAGTTACAAAAAAAATTGTAAACATTTTTTTCGGGCAAGAAATATGCGACGATTCAGGAAGATAAACAAGTCTAAAAAAAATTGCTGCCGCTAAATTTTTTTCTCGTATAAATACAAGGTGATGCAAAACTTTTGAATCTATGTGTATAAGAAGTTTATCGCAATTACTTCAGTCAAAAAAAAAAAAAGAAGTTTTTCTGAGACTTCTTAGCTATCAATTTGCCAAATAACAGGTACGCCCAGCGCCCCGCGCGACGTTGAGGTAGGTGTTCTTTTATCTTGACTGCGCTTGTGCAAGAGAGTCCAATGGGAAGCGAGTTTGTCACGTGTTTGCGTCATATTTACATTCAGGGTTGAGACTCTGTAAAGAATAGAGACATTTTCTCTATTTCTATTGACGTCCCCTTTCTATATATTGATTTCGAGAAGAGAGAAAAAAACAAGAAGTGCCATAGCGATAGGGATCAGATAATGATCTCTATCCGTTACAGAGTCCGAGCCCAGGGGCGAGTTCAGAAGTAATCATTCCTTCTTTCTATATAACGTATAATTCGACAAAAAGCGAACTAATACTTTACTTTATCACTTCTGAACTCACCGCAGTGGGTTATGTACTTGACATATTGTAGGGTACGAAACCTAATCGGTATCTGTGTTTGTATTTATAGGTATAAGTATTTTTTTCCGTTTGTAATTATGTAAATATTATATTTCTTCATTTCTCCAAATAATTCTCTTCCGACTGTACCTATTTATTTTTACATATACTGTACCGTCACGGTTGAATAGGCGAGGCGCGCTGGATCTCAGGGTAGCAACAGGGCGACGAAAAGGGAATATCTCTATATA